AAGTAATCTATCATAGCGACATTCTGCCTCCAAGATATTCCAACGAGGGTGGCCAACTTAGGCTGAGTGATTCGGCCACGCATAAGTGCAAATATTAATTTTTTTAAATTGAAGAAAAGTATAATCGTTGGTAAACATTTAGTTCCCACATTTTTTAGCATCGAAAAGAAAAAGATTTAAGTTATTCGTAAAAATTTATGATTTTTTTATTTCAAAAATTATTTGAAAAGCAAAGATATAAATGCTTCAATATTTTGAGAAATTTATTTTCACACATCTCAAAGTTATAAATGTTTTATATTTTTAGTCATTAACGTAGACAAAACAATGATCGAAATAAATCAAAAACTAAAAATAAAATAAAATTCATACCGGCTTGGTTATCATTCCGAACTAAACTGCGAAGTGAATAGTGATTAAGACATCTTTAGCCAAGAAGCTTTAACTAGACTTGTTGTCTAATGCAAATTTAGATAAGTTAATGTGTATTTTCTTTTTTTAATATAACATTTATAACAAATACAAGATAGATAAGAATGAAACAATTTAAACATGTTTGTTTGTTATTCCGAATTTTCCGAACCAAAGTAGGCGCAGTAAGACACTTTTGGTCAAAATATATGTTTTTTAAAAAAATCTAATGCATAATATTTAATTTTCTTCGAATAAATTCTCACGTTGTAAAGAATTACTTATAATAAAGATAAAAGTACGAATAATTATAAAATATAATAAAACTACATATATATTTATATATAAAGGCTAGCTACAATCTAAATGTAAAACATCTAACAACATTATGGTATTTTCTCAGCCCTTTAAAGTCACTCACATGCTGGTAGTAGCGAGTTGGTTAAAGGGCTATAGGCCGGAAATGTCAAGCCGAGGATTCGCGGAGAAACGGTTTTCACGTACGTCACGTTCTCGGAAATTTGCCGTCCAGAAAATCGCAAGGGCGAGAAACCGCCATGCTTCGCGTACGCTTTGATGTCCTGGCGAATAACGTAAGCTTGTGACACAAAGGCGAAAGCCTCGAGAGAAGGTCTTGGCTTCACAGAGGAAACACTTCGCGAAGAAGCGTTTTCACGCAGGAAATCATCCGAAGATGAGAGAGAAACAGTCATTCTGCGGCATTATGGACCAGATATGAATTTTAAGTGCTGCAGAGGTTACCCAGTGAATATTTCATCAGGATATTGTGCAAGCATATCGCTGTCAACTGGAAACATTAATTCAGATTACTCACGATCGAATCCCGATTTTAACCAGTATTATTAATGATTCATATTAGCGAATAATTACTGTTAGTATGCTAAATTTGAGGTGTTAATCCCTTCATTTGTAATATGCACTGAAATATGTATCATTATCACTATGATCAATTCCACGGATTCCATATTTACATAGCTTGTGAAAAACGTAAAGAAAGATGGATTTGCTGAAGTATTAAAAAATTTAGCTAAATATACAAATCTGAAAGTAATTTTATTAAACTAATAAAATAATTACATAGAAAAGACGCTCGAGCTTACTAAAATATCAAAACTTTTGCAGCATTGCTCATCATGTTTGAGAGTTTCCTACATAATTATCGTAGTTTAACAAAATTATTTTCAGAGATCCGTATATCTATTTTTAGATATTTTAGCAAACTTGTTCTTTCCGCGCACAGACTTTTCTCTCTTTAAGTAAATATGCAGCAGAGAATCAATGATACAAAATATGATAGCATTAACAAAATGAGACAAGAAAATATTCATGAGCGGATACAAGACGCGTGAAACCGCAGTGCCGGAGGTAAAAGACGCTCGGAGTTACTCGCGAAACACGGAGGAACTTCCGGTAATGAGATGGGAAAAGAGCGGATCCCGTAACGAGGAAATAAATGCTAATGGTCAGCTTGTTCGTCGGCATGCCGGGAGCGTGTCGCGCTCTAACGATACCTGGAGGCTTGTACACTGATAAGACCCGTTGCCCCTGCAGGTTTACGTGCGGAATAAAGATAAGCCAATGCGTCATGGCGACCCCGCGTTGCGTTCGCATTTGCCAATGCGGGTCGTAAGTCGGAGCACGCTGCATTTTGAAACAATCGCGATCGTTAAGTCCATTGTGCAATGTACCGTGTACACAATGATACGGTGAAAACATGAAACCGTCTGGAACGAGACGGATCTGAGAAGCATTATTATTAGGAGCCTCTGAATGCTAAAATGGCAGCCGCTCATCTCCGACGGCGCATCTCGGTTTACTGTCACTTTTGCATCCCTATATTATATTCTCTTTCGGATCATGCTTTCGAATCAGCGTCCGTGACGCATGAGAGGAGTTGATTTGTTCGAATAAAACGCGGTATAAAGAACTGAACGATCAAACCCTTTTATGATCGCGCGCACGATTGAAAACGACGCGCGACAGCAATCGATGCGTGGTTAATAACAAATCCTGTCGTAACATTCGACTCGAAATAAAAGCGGTCCATTCTATTTCCCTTTCAATTTGTTGTTGTTCAAACATGCATAAACATTACACCAGAGTGGACGAAGGCAATATTTACACGTGTTGGTAAAGTATTTCATTGTAACGAATACAGAAAATACTATCAAAAAAAAAAGAGAAAAAAGAGGGAAGGGAGGGAACAAAAGGGAAAAGGGAGAGAGAGAGAAATTCGCATTAGTGGTCTATTTCGAGGTATCGAAGAAACAGATAGAAAAGAAAGAGATAAATTCACACATCACATCGGAAAAGCTTTTCATTCTAATATTATTAACGTGAATTCCATACAATTTGTTTGACGTGTACGTCATATTTCCGTAAACCGTCGTTCCAAGCCTGTTTCAACCTCCTTGCGACGCTCTTTCGTGCGTTACGTGTTCTCATGTAACATCCCTGACGACTGGACTGACAATATACTAACACATTCGTCACTGTCGCTTACGAGACGTCTCTTATTTCACGCCGGTAAGGACGGCCGGAAACGACGGTAAACGGTAAATAGGTAGACAGGCAATCGAATAGGGGATCTCGATTTTTCTCCCAGAAACAGCTAGTAGTTATAGTCGTCTCATGGTGCATCATTATCGTGTCACGAGTTCGTTTTTATCATTGGGCCTGGTTTAACTCTTAAAAAGTCTTCTAATAAAGAAACGTAAAAAGATTTTATTTTCTAAAGGGTTTTGGGATTGCTGAATTCAATTCTGGCCGCAAAAAATACTAAAATTTAAATTAAAAAAAAAAAAAATAATCTGATTATCATAAAACCTCTCTCGCAATTTTAGAATTTGTTGGCATCGTTGAGTTTACTCTGAAAATGTCGAATTTCAAAAGGACAGTAACCTTCAATGAAGGAGAATGAGGTATCACAGAGTTCATAATCAAAGTTTGAAAGTCAATTTAAAAATCAATTCTAATCATCTGCGTAGCACTAAGCTTCAAATAAATCGAAACCGTAAACTTAATGTTATTATATTCGCAATTAAAATTCCCTAAACCCGAGATTTATAATAATTAGATTTTTTAAAATTCTGATCATCATATTGGATCCAACGTACTGATTTTTTTTACCTCAGATTTGAATAAAGCATTATCAAATTAATCCATAGACCAAATTTCATCAAAATTGAGCAAGCAGTTTACAAAATATAATAAAAGAGGATATTTAAAACGGGGTCATCCACAAAGGGATTAATCAACCGCAATACAATTCTTGCGCAATGTCTACCGATTTTTTGTAAGAGTAGTCTTTACTTTCTCTCTTCACGGATATTCCATGAAATATTAACGGATGTTCAGACTTATTCGAAATCGTTATGCGAAATCCGCGGTAGATATAAAAGCTAATGAATCTACTCGCAGTATAATCGAAACTGCATCCGCCATGTGCACTCGTGCGCTCGAAAATGTCTAAGAACGAGCCTCAAACTTGACACTCGGCTACCGTTTTATTTTCATTCAACGACTATCTTTATAGACCTATTATATTTCCAGGCCGAAGCAAAACGGGAGCAGATCTTTACTAGCTGTTTGCACACGGTTGTTTCCATAAAAGTTTAATTAATTAAGCCGTCGCGTCGTATTTGATTAACGCCGTGGGATCTTCCGCGTTTCACGAAAATTGCACGAGTACACAAGTGACGATTCATCGTGTTAGCGTTGGAAGCATGCTTAATAAAAGCATCATGACATCAATGGATTAATGCAGTGAGCTATAGTTACGATACATTGACGCATTAGATCAGCTTAATATACCAGACTGCATGAGCGATGGAAAACATTGGCATTGACTAACTGTTATTTTCAATACGTAAAACATCGACGCCAACATTTATTATCACGCTAAAATGATTGATTCACGTGCGATTATATGTCCCAACAGAATTGCCATTTATATTTAATGTGGTAAAGAGCTGCACGACCGAATCCACGTCAAATTTACTAAATTACGAAATTTATGTTGCACATACAACATGCTAGTCAGATTTTATAAAGCGATGCACATATTTCACGATAATTAATGCCGTAAATTACAAGATAATTGCAAAGTTCAAATTACAAGGATAATAGAAGAGGATAACGTGACACACGATAGAAGCACATCTAATTAGCATTTGTCTATGTATTATTTTGAAATAAAACGCAATAAAACATAATCTCCTATTGTCCATCTTGTCTATATGTATATTATTCATGATAGCTTACGAAAGGCATTTTTCCAATATGTGAAATAATAAAGGAAACAAGTTAATTTTCTACGGTAATTTTTATCATGCAGCGAGAGATTATTAGGAGTAAGCTGGCGCATATTAAACCGAATGCCGCTTGGCAGCAGCCCGGACGGTAGTCGAGATGTATCACGACGTTAATTAAGACGGATGTGTGCCTGCGAGATATTAGGACCTCTTCCCATATCCTTCACGAACCACATCGTCCCGGGAAAGAGCCTTTCGGCGGAAGTAGTGATAATACGCGGATAAAGTGACGATGTACATTGCTTTGTGGCTTACCATCGTCAGGGACGCGCCCGTCCCGCGTGCGTACTGGAATTCCTGGACACTCACCTGGAAACAAAAGAAAAAGCAAAGGGTTAATAATGTCACATTGGTGATTCAAGATGCTTATCTAGAATAAATGATAAGTGATCAAGAATATCATATGGTGTTCAATTATTATATACTGACAAAAATTGATATCTACAAATTTTTAGACACTTTAGCAAAAATATTCTTTTTGTGCCTGTATATTTCAACGTTTACATAAAAAATTTAAATTTTTTCCCGACACGATGGAAAAAGTCTGGTTGCATTAACTGGAATTCTAGTTGAAAATAAACAAGTCTGAAGATTCTTTAATTATATAAATCAGAATTCTGTTTATCTCAACTAGAATTTAATTATAATATATTCAACCCGAAAATTATGACATGTCTATTTTCAACTAATTACAATTAATGCAACTAGACTCTTTTTTTAGTGTATGTCAGAAAGAAATTTAAAAACTTTTTATTCAAACGTTAGAATATCCATATATCTACGGAAAAACGATTTTACTAAAGTATCTAAAAGTTTAGCTAGATACAGGTCTGAAAATAATTTTAGTAGACTATCGGAATTATGAGGAATGCTCAAACGAGATAATGCCAATGCTGCAAAAAGTTTTAAAAATATTCTAGTAATTTAATATTCTAACAATCAGTTTGAGCGTTCTTCATAATTATTTTGAAAGTCCAAAAAAAATCATTTTCAGACTTGTAGCTGGCTGAATTTTTAAATAAGCAAAATCGTTTCTTTCGTGTGAAAGTACAAAAATAAAAAAGTACACACACTAGTGTACTTTTTTTTTACCTCTGTATTTGATATAATTCGGATAAATAAAATCTAATTGATCACTTGATCGAATTATTGTGCAAGAGCTGTTGGAGAATTTTTATTTTATTTATTTTTTTTTTTTTCCCGTTAATGTCGAACTTTCGTTCTTAAGAAGCACCGGATATTGCAGGCTCATTCCAATCTTTACTCGCGCAAGTTAAAGGCTTCCTTTTTCCGCGATTTAATTCACGGAGCAAAAGCGCGAGCTCGGAGCAGATATCGATGATGCACTTGGTGAGATGCACGGCGCGAGCTATCTCGATCGTGCCATCTGGCACACATGGTCTGAGTTCGCGAGATATCTCGGCTGCGCCACCTAATAGCCAGATTAACACGTCGACAAGCGAACCTATCGACCAAATCACACATATGGTGAGTTTGCTCGAATCGCATCGTAGCGGACAACCTAATTTCCCGTCGCCGTGCGGAAAATTTGCCTCACGTTACACGTTGTTTGCATGTTCATGAATCAATAATGCATATAAATTATCTAATATTTATATATAGTATAATACATATACATTAAGAAGAATATCCGGTTAAAAATGAACGAGCTAGAAAATTCTGATATTAATAAGAATTCTGGTTATCTCAATAAGAATTCTACTAGGTTTAATCAGAAAATTCTAATTCATCCATTTTCAATCAGAATTCTAATTAATGCAAACCAGACATTTTTAATGCAGGAATAATACATGTTATACTTTTTTAACATTTATTTTTGTGTTGCCGTTATGCTATGCGTCAATCAATTGTTATCATTAAAATCGCATGAGAATATCGTAGCACAGATGGTGCACCTCGTTCTATGGAATGATGAAAAAAATATCGTAAAATTCTTATAACATTTATGCGATTGAAAAACATTTTGCAGAAATTGCATGACGTAACGACCACGTAAAAATAAATATTAAACAAATTTCGAGCTCACACGTGCGTACCAGTTATAACGCTAAAAAAAAATAGCGTACGGAACTTTCTGATAGTTAATAACAGAACGAGATTTCACAGATATCATAAAGATCGTCCACGTGCACGAACGATAAACGCGATAACGAAGAAAATTCCGCGGGAATGTGTTATTGAAAAGGGCAACTAAAGAGAACAGAACAGAAAGAAATCCCACTGGATGTGGTTCAGGCACGTGTTTACATAAATACCGAGGACGCGATCGATAGCGTTTTACCACCTTTGTCACGCAACTTCAACGATTGGCTGACTTTTTTTTCTCCACGCGAGCCTTTATGTATGCTCTTTGACACGGAATCGACAAGGCGGAACCGTGTGCTCCGATATCGGTCATTCGGAACACGCTCTCGCAAGTGCACACGCAATTCGTAATACGAAACAGGTCTCGTAGAAATCTTTAATGATACGCGTTACGTATTATATGCACAGGACGATATTAATCGATATCGCTGATCGAGACCTTCGCGTATTAATAAACAGCGTAAACGAGACTGACCGAAGCTCATTGCGTCAATTTCGATCGACTCGGTCTTTTTCCTACGCTGTAATTGCGAAAGTTGCGAATGTACCTCTTATACGAGTGTATGAGAAAAGAACTCCATCGTGCATCTCCCAAACTTCTTCGTAAATTCCAAATACGCACAACATCACAAGAATTCCATTCTGCTATGCATTAAGAATGTACTGGTTAAACAGTCATAAAGTAACGTAGGTATATCAAGAATATTAGTTTTTAACTGTTTATAACATGTATTTGGATTTTATAAAATAACTTTTGATTTATGGCTGTATCACATGTATAGCTTTTTTTATTAAAAGTGACTGAAACTAGTATACTTTCCATAAAAATAAATAATTTTATACACATATAAAATAATTCAATAAAGTCAATATTATAATATAATAAAAAATACTTAACGATATAATTTTATAGACAGAGAATTAAAATAAAATTGTTCTCTCTCACTTTATATTAATTGTTTTTTAAAACATGTTCTTATTGAAATAATTTTTCATCCAGATTATAAATCACCGACAAATTTTTTTAATTAACTCTCAAATACAATATAAAAAAACCTAATTTTTTCATAATTTTTTCATTTTGTTAAAAAGTTTTTTAATATATCCTTATATCCATTTGTAATATATCCTTAATTGCATAAAATTAAACTATAATGCAATATTTCTGATAACTGTTATATTTGAAGTTTAGTGAAAGTGAGAGAGAAGTTTTAATGCAGTTCAGGATAGTAACAAAAAACACGCCTATAAGTATTTAATAATTACAATAACTTTTGAAAGACTTTCTAAACTTCTAAAACTGAACATATATATGATTATACGTTTATATGCCTAAATCTATCTTCTGTGTTTAAGTAAATTTTATTAATTCATCTTATAGCCAATATAAACTTGAGGAGGGACTCCAACATCCTATCGGACTTCGACTAACAGCTTTTCATCCGAACAGTCTCCACTTTAACAGATGGACGGACGGAACTAGATACAGCCCTTACGGCATGAAAGCATTCACATTCTCTAGCAAGTCCCAACCCCCCTAGTTTAAGGGGAAAATTTGTCAGGTAATGTTATGACAGTGAAAAGGCCATTTATCTTGTAGTATTAGCACATGGATGATGACTGCAAGAAGCGAACGTCGATGAAATTAACGGAAGCAACGGCCGGTGTTTACGCGCATTTACGGGCAACTGACACGTACACGACCGAATATGTATGCGTGAACACCTTTGTGAGATTAAGCCCGTTTGCCTGTCCGACGTGTAAGTATACGCATAGAGCTCACGTCGATACACATGCGTGACGCGTGTAAACGTGCATCGAAGGCTGCATCCATACAAGTTACATGTAGGAATGTTCCGCTGTCAGCGTTCTACCAATAATAACTATACGAGTAGAGTTGTATTGATAGTATTAACTCAAAATACGTCGGAGATACCATTACGTAAGTTGGACAAGTGAAAAGGTTTCGATTAATTGAGCCTTAGCGGCGCGAGCGGATAACGAAATCTTACTTTTCTGTCAATTGCAAGTGGACTATTTTCCATCGAAACTTTTAATTCGTTTAATTTCGAGGGGGTTTTAATTTAACAGAATCTCAACTTCCGACTTACTCGAAGAGTATTTAATGAAAATTGAAGAGTTGCGAGACGAGAGCGAGGTTTTCTCTCTCGTTTTTTTATTTTTATGTTTTTTAAAAAGGAGAAAACAACTTCAAGATGTATCCCCAATCTTCGAGGGTTATGTGGGATTTTTACATTCACTAAAAACTCCTCCGGTGTGCCTTGGCGTTTAACAGGACACCCAGAAAACAGGTAGTAGTATACTATTTGGATCTCCCTCTTCCTTGCCTCTTTCTTTCTCTCCTCCTTCCTTCTCATTCTCTTTCACTCTCTCGACTTTTTTCATTCACAAGAAAATTGCAAGAAACACGTGCCAACCGTTGACGTGCATGCAGGAAGAGTTAACGTGTGTTTCCATCGAGCATGTCCGTTCGCAGAAGTGTGTACATACAAATGCCTTATGATACTAATTGATAGACAGACAAGAGACGGCTGGATCAACCATAAAAGCGTGCTGGCACAGGGTGCACCCTTCCGCTTCACGATAGTCTTCGACTTCTCCTCGCTTCCGCCTACGAGCTCACCCGACAATGGACACGCCACTAGGAAGAATGTCGGCGCATACCTCAGCAACAATGCACGAACAATGCCGCGTAACGACTTCGGCTTTCTCTCTCTCTCTCACACACACACACACACTTTCTGTCTCTCTTTCACAAATTCGCGCCGCGAATCACTGACAAAGACGTCGACTCGATGCAAACTTGTTTCGGGAAGGAACGACTATTCCCAACCAACACCAGTTTGATAAGCGATTCACGTCACTCGTTGCGTTTTCTGCAAAAATGTGAAAATGTTCACAGAGACTCAAAGCGATGTCCCAGTTTTTATCAATGGTGTAAACGAATAATCGAGAATGTACAGACTTTTTATCTCTTTGAAGAAAAGTTTAAAATTGAAGAAGATTGGTTGGTGGCGAGAGAATGTAAGAAACAGAACTTTAATTAATTTTAAATATTAACGGATAATCAGATTCTGAGTATCAATTAATAAGTTGTTTTAAGTTATTATATGATAACTTATAGCTTATTATTTTTTACTTTGTAAAGTATCTACTTTTATAATATTTTTCGTTACTCAATC